CTTACAGAACGCGTTACATAAGGTAACAAACGCTGGCGTCGAGCTTCTTCCTGTGGAAAGGGTCGTAGACTTGGAGTATGCCGATGATATTGCCTTATTGGGTGACACCGCACCAACGATTCCGGAGTCGCTGAACCGTTGGGCAATTGAGGTTACTCGCTATAATATGTCATTTGTACCTTCAAAGTGCAAAGTGTTATTGCAGAATTGGCAAAAATCCATTCCTGCATTTTCATTGGGTAGTGATACTGTAACTAGTCGAAAGCTTTGTCTACCTTGGGATTGCATAACGGCTGGNGCGGAGGTGTGGGTGAGGAGATCTCTCAACGCGTGATCAAAGCTAGATTAGCGTTTACTAATCTGCGGCATCTCTGACGCCGGCGTGACATATCCCTTTCACTGAAAGGGCAGGTGTATTGCGCAACGGTACGCACCGTGTTGCTCTATGGCTGCGAGACCTGGCCTCTCCGAGTAGGTCACGTCCAGCGACTTTCAGTCTTCGACTATCGTTGTCTGCGCAAAATCGTCGACGTATGGTGGGAGCATCGCATAAATAATGATGAAGTTAGATGACGGGTGCTAGGACCAGATAGTCTTCCTTTGGGCAAAATAATTTCACAGAATCGTCTAAGGTGGCTAGGGCACGTCCTACGAATGCCTGAGCACCGTCTGCCACACCGTGCACTACTCGCAGACATCGGTTCAGGCTGGAAGAAACAACGAGGTGGGCAGGCTATGACGTGGTGCAGAGGGTTAAAGAGATTGTGCTCGGATCTGGCTTAAGTTGGGGTTTCTCGGCTCCCCGGCTGGGACCAAAAAGATTCAGATTTTCTTTGGCTGGAGACACTGTGGGATATGGCATCGAACCGAAGTCAGTGGCGCGAATGCATCCTCTCCCGTCTGCAATCCCCTAAAATAAAGAAAAACGAAAAAAAATGCTCAGAATGGTGTGCAGTAAGCAAACAAAAATATTTTCTATTCCCCCAAGTTGACTTTTATCTTCCCCGCTTTTGTACCTATATTTTTTCACCTATGGTTATATAGCGCCTTATCTGTAAAGATTGGTGTTATATATATATATATATATATATATATTGCA